AACTTGTTCAAGGTCACCCAAAGTAACCAAGTAAGCATGTATACATGAGGGAAAAAAATAACAGGTTTTAAACAATAACTTTTTTCTCCTCCTACCAGCTACAGTGGTAGCTATTCACGGTGCAAATGTCCTGGGGCACACAGACCTACCTCAAAGGCAAATCAAAGGGCATGCCCCTCTCTGGCCCCAGTTCCAATATTTTTAGACAAGTAAAATCAGGTTTAAATGAATAAAAAACTAAGGTAATGGGTTGGGCTAGAGAGGGCTTCTCTATCTTGTCAGGCCTTCCCAACTAGAAAATAAAGAGTGGGTAAATGGGGAAACAACAAGAACAATTTTCTTGAGTAAAGCAAATGTATGAAAAGCTTAAGGTTCCTTTTTATGATTTTAATCAGGTGAACTACTCGTTCTTCTTTTGTGAAAGCACTTAGCCCAGAGCTTGGCACATAACAGGGACTTAAAAATGCTTTTTTAATTTTCCCTGCTCTCCCAACCCAAGGGCATCCAGCTTTTTGCTGACAAAAACTCAGAGTCCAGACCACTTATGAAGCATAGCATTCAGGAGAAACCCAGAGGTTAAGTGCAAACCAATAAATCATGAAAGAACTAGAATCAACTCCTAAATTCTCTGTATACCTTATGACCTACAAAATACAAAACTAGAAAGAAACTGGAATTATACTCTAAGGGTAAAAGGGAAAATTCTAAAATGAAACTCAAGTCCTAAGAACCGAAAGAAAATGTGGGTGATTATGTAAGAATTAGAGACTAGAAATAATAAGAAGAACATAAATACTTTAGAGCTATAGTGCATCAAACTCATAATTTGTAAAGAGCAACCACATGACAAAAATACTCAAAGCTTGAAGCCTTCCTTGGTCTTGGAATGTCATGAGACTTTTTTGGCTAAAAGAAGGAATGCTTTAGTGAGAGAAGGAAAAAGAATTTCCAGACCTCTAGGTGGCTCCAATTTTTAAACAACTACTCAGCTACCTTAACTAAATGTTCAAATGATATCTAGTTATTTATGCAAGTCACATCAACAACTGGACAGTACTAAACATCCTTAGAACTATAACTCTCATTTCTCTACTGGTTTTCTCTGTCTTCCTTTGAAGTGTGGCACTGAGTGATCAACAGCTGCTGACTAATGTATCATATGACATGTGTAAAATAATATGACATAGTAAGATTTCTTTCAGTAATCCTGTGCTGATAAAAAAAAGCATAATTACTTTAATGATCTACTTAGAGAAAGGATTATCTACAAAAGAAAATCACAAGGGTAACACTAATTTAAAAGGTATCTCAATTTATTACTCTGAATTTTCCACAGAGCCCAAATGCATTAATTTTGCCTAGTATCTGCAAAGGCTGTTTCATATTACATATAACACCAGCAAGGAAGAAAAACAGGAGAGTGTCAGTGTCAGTCCGGCTTTTCTGTTATGAAAAGCAGATTAAACAGTGATAAAGAAGGCAATCAAGATACAAATACAAAGCTAATGTTATTATCTTATTCATTAAAATAATAACCATTTATTGAGCACCTACTAAATGCATCAGGCACTGAGTATAGACTAGTGAATAAACCAGGCATTATTTCTGCCCTGGAAAGGCAAGAGATAAACATTAAGTAGTTAAATAATACATAATTATAAGTTATGACAAACATTAAAAAGGAAAGATGATTGTGCTATGAGGGAGAAAATAAAGGGATTCTAAGTTACATGATGAGAAGGGTGATAAGACATTTATAAAGAGGGTATCTGAATTCGTACCCAAGGATGACAAATTACTCAAGGAGATGGTCCTAAAATAGAGACCAATAGCATGAGCAAGAGCCCTGAAGTGAGTCTGCTGGAGAACTGGACAATGTGGCTGGCAAAGGATGAAGATGGGGGGGTAGTGGCCAAATCATGCAGGACCTTATAGGTATGTTGAAGATTTCATATTTTATCTGGAGAAATAAATGTGTTTCCTAAGAGCTTTGAAGACTTTAAACATCAAGTGACTTTTTTTTCTTTTTAGGCTGCTGGTGGGAAAAGGGACTGGAAGGGGTACAGCATATGTGCAAAAGGCAATGCAGAAAGATAATGGTGGCTTCAAGTAGAATGGAAGCATAGTGGAGGCTGAAAATCAAATAGATTTGAAAGAGATTTTTCCATAAAAGTAGATAAGGTGGGGGGAGGTTGGAAGGGGTGAAAGAACAGAAGAGAGAATGAAGGATAAACTCCAGCCTTCTGGCCTGAGCCACATGTTGGATGGATGAGATGAAAAACAGAGGAGGAACTGTTTGAAAGCTTGGGTAATCAAGAGCTCAGTTCTGGACAAGTGTGAGATAATGCCATTTATTGGCTACGATGTACAAGGCACTATATTGGATATTCTACTTGTCACAGAATCCCTTTTTAGTAGCGGTATCCCCATTTAACAGAAAGCAAACTGTAGATCATGATGTTGAAGTTGCACGACGAACTCATTCGGTTCAAAGTGACAAAGTCACATCTGCCATCCAAGTCTGGTTGGCTGGCTGTGGGGTAAGCATTCTTTCCACAATACACAGTTCTTACAAACTATTTCTACACTTTGCATTTTGAAATCTATTTAGGGTTGGAGCAAGCTAGCACCCAAGAAGAGTAAACAGGTGATACCTTATTTTTTAAATCCAAATTCTCAGATTTATTTTGCATACTGTTTTCCTTTACCACTCTCAACCCCACTCCACTTCTATCTGCAGAGTTTTGCAATGTTTCGAACTCTAGCAAGGTATCTAGGACCTTAATGTTTTACAATAAAGGAGCAAAGCCACGATGCCAGGAATGAACCATGATGAAAAAAGCAGCAATACCCAGCAGCAAACAATATTTTTACTCTCAAGCCATACATACATCAACATAAGATAGATCAAGCAGCAAACAATATTTTTACTCTCAAGCCATACATACATCCACATAAGACAGATCAACTGAGCAAGAAATTCTGAAAAATTATTTCTCAAAAATGGCGAAGGTGTTCAAGTCCAAAATTAATGCAAGCCACCCAGTACAGAAGGCTACAAAAGCTAAGAATTGAGATTCCCATTAAAAAACCAAAACCTTAAAAGAACAGAATGTTAGGCAAAAAGAAATGATACCACAACTGTATAGAATTTAATATCTGCAATTCCCAAATATCTTAACCAAATGCCAAATTCAGTAAACATGCAAGCTAAAAACCTAAACATTCTCTCGGCTTTTTAGAAGCTTTTCCCTGCAGCACAATGACACTTTAGCAAACTGAAATGCCTTTCCTATCTGCAGAGTCTCATGATTTTCTCCCTCTCTGGGCTGATGTCCCCCTCAGCTATTGAAGCCCAGAAATTAGGCTTGATTAATGAACCTAGAAAGAACTCAACCTATTACTAACAATTGTGTCTATTATTGAAAGTACCAGCTTGAGGCTCTTAAAAGGGGAGAAAATGAGGAAGGGGGAGATTTTTGAAAGGTTTTATCACCTACATTACAAATTATATTTTGGTGGGTCTGATCCTTCAACAAAATAATCAAATTACATTCAGTGTTCTTAAAGTAGGGTATGGCCATATGCAATTTTCACGGTTTTTTGGGAGAGTTTGCCATGGAGATAAATAAAAAGTAGCATTAATATGCCCACTAAAAGATAAACACTCACACAAACCACCCTCCAAAATGATAGTACTACTGTGTCCTTCCTCCTGTTTCTTGTGTCCACCTGGCACCTCTCCCTGCAGAGAGGTCTAGCTGGCATTCACTACTGCCTCACCCAGGCAAAGGACGGGATGCTGAAAATCCATTAAGAAAGCTTCCCATTTTCTATTCCTTCATAACAGGATGGCCAACTCCTGGCAACCCAAAGATGAAAAACTAAAAAAAAAAGGGGGGGGGGGAAACTACCTGAGGCCTTCTACCAGAATAAGTGGTTAATCCAATCGGCAGAAAAGCAGAGATCTATACATATTTAAAGGTCCTTTCTGGTGACACAACGGGTCTAATGAGGAATTGCTGAGCCACATCATACTGGAAAATCCGTAAATGTTTCTCCTCGCTGTTACCAGGCTGGAAGAATTTTTTTTTTTTTTAATACAAGGTTTTGATGTACTGACACAGCTAACCTGATGGGTTTAAGTCAGCTAGGAAATGTGCCCTGCATCTATTTCCCTTCTAAATCCCTAAAGATCAGAGGCAATACTGACCCGTAATTACATTCAACGCTTGCACTGCTCAAGATGCCATTTGATGTTGAAAAAGTAGTGGTTTAGCAACACCAGGCGGCTCTACGATGTTAAAATAACGCAACACTCGATTACGAACCCAGGTACTCGGCTTGTAAGCTCCAGTGCCGCACAAGGACCCACATTCAAAGCTCACGTCCCTTCAGGCTGAAGCTTATTAAGCCTTCGCGATGTACCCTCGCAAAGTTTCTAGTCTGCAAAACGGAATTACTTTGAAAGTCCCTTCTTTTGGACTCCCCTCCCCAGACGGGTTGGCGGCAAAGGGAAACAGGGACAGAGGATGATGGTTAAGCGTTCAAACAAAATTTTAAAACCTAAAAACCAGTCGTGTTTTCAGAGGAGAGACGTTCACCAAACCGCCACCCGGCAAGCGAGCATCCGATTTTCATTTGGAGAGACAAATATTAAAGAAGCTATACATACGGTTCCCTGGCCAACAAAAGTGGCCTCTAAACTCCCCTGCCAAGGACACTGGGAGGAAACCGAGAAGCAGGGCACAAGCCTGTACTTCTCAAGCAGAAGCGCGTGTGTGCGGCGGGGAGAACGCGCAAAGGCGAACCCAACAGGGAAAGGTGAACCGGAGGAACAGGGAGCCCGAGGCCGGAGGGCAGAACCGGCGAAGAAACCCAAGGTGTCGACAGAGGGGCGAGCGGGCGGGGAAGGGGGAGCCCGGAGGCTCCAGGGGGAGGAGGGAAGGGTCCCAAACGCTGCCCAGAAATCGCGGCGGCCGAGTAAAGTTAATACTTACTCAGTTTCGCAACTGCGCCGCCCCCGGCAGGCCGCCTGGCGGGGCCGGCCGGAGCGCTGGGGACGCGGCGGCGTCCGAAGCTCGGCGGCCGCCCAGCGCCTGTCCCGGCCGCGCCGCCCGTCGCGCCTCCCTCCGCCGCACTCGGCGGGCCGCGCGCCCCGCACTGGCGGGAGGCCCTGGCTCCCGGCGCGCCCTCTCCGCGCACCTCCCCGCCGGCGCTAAGGTGAGTGCGGACGCCCCTGGTGGGGCTGCCGCGGTGTGCTAGCGCGCGGGCAGCCTCTGCGCCGCCCGCAGGAGCCGCCCCCAGCGCCGTCGCCGCGGCCGCAGGCGGTCAAGCGAGGCTCGGCCAGGAGCGGGGCGGCGGGCGCAGTGCCGGACGGCGGAGTTGGCGGCCGGCTCGCTCCCGCGGCCGGTGCCTCTGGGCTGGGGGCCGGGCCGGGCTCGGGCGGCCGGGCGGCTCCGCCCCTTCGCCGGGCCGCGGGCAGAGCGCGCGAGAGGAGCGGCGCGGGGGCGCCCCCCTCGGCCGGGCGCTCGGGTTACAGCCGCGGCTCCCCGGCTTCCCCGCCCGCGCCCCGCCGGTTCGCCGGCGCCGTGAGAGACATTGTAACGGAACTGGGACGCCAGCGCTGCATTGTGGGAGCTTTTAAAGCGGCGGGGAACGTGGCCCGGCCGCTCGGGCCCACCGGGCCAAGCTCACCCCGGCGCCCCTAGCACGGCCCCGCCGCCGCTCGTACCACCACACACCCAACACCGCCGAGGCCTGTGGACCGGGAAGCCCGAAGTGGTGAGGTGACCGGTGCCTACTGACTCTCACAGGAGCACAGGCTTCCATAGCCCGGGGTGAGACTTGTAAAACTGCCCTCTACGGTCATCCCGGAAAGTAGGAGGCTTTTTCTGCAGACCCTTAAAAAAGAAAAAGAAAAAGAAAGCCCTTCCATCCCCCAAGAACTGGGTTTGAATTGCTTTTCCTCTGGAGTGGCAGTGATTCAGCGACCCCCTTCTCAGCAGCAGGCAGTGACAGAGACAGGAGACGAAAAACACAGCGAATGAATCAGACGTGAGTAACCAAGTTTAGAAAGAGCTGGGCTCAGAGTCAGAAAACTGCCTTCTCTCCCCAACCCCCACCCCCAAATACAGCAAACGGTCGAGGAAGAAAACCCGTGCTTTTCATCTGGAAACGCAGATACGTATATTGTTCTCCCTCTTCCAACCCCCTCCCTTTTTTTAAATGGCACGTAATTACTCTAGCCACTGGACAAAATTCGGCCTTTGGTCCAGGCTTGTGCTCACACATGCCCACAACTCAGCAGCAGCTATTAATTTGGAGGAAGATGGAGTGAAGATAGTGGATGAGATACAAGAAAACATTCCAATTATAAAATGCCCCTTTTAATTCTCCACTGTTTTTTTTTTTTAATCAAAACAGGGATATTAAATCTGAAGCAAACTTGTTACAGCTCATCTTACTGAGGACCTGATTTGTTTTGTTTTGAGTTTGTGTTTGTAGGCCTTTTGTTTCTTCCTCTTGTTTTTTGACCTTTCTGGAGTTATTGCACAGCTCATTAGTTCCTTTAAGTTCTCGGTGAACTGAGGAGAGACAGAGATACTAAGACTCAAATTTGGCTGATTAAGGTTTGGAGGATTTGAGGACAAAAATGAGTTCTCTATGATTCAAATGCAAAACCTGGGGGAATTTTATTTAAGGTGATTCTGTAGGGCATGGATCCTCTTCTCAGAGGACTTTTCCAGCTTTAATGTTAACATTTCCTAAGCGCTCATTCCCTTGTCAACCTTTCACGCCGCTGAACATCAGTCACCCGCCTAATTGCCAAATCTAATGGAAAAATTTAATCCCCATTTTGTCATGCCCTTTGTGGCGTTTGCCAATTTTGACCTCCCCTTCCTTCTTAGAACTTTCCTCCCTTTTATGTTGTTGCTGTTGTTGATAGTCATCCCTCTTTTGTGGAGGTCTTGAAACAGGGGTGAGTGATAGCTGGCAGGATTGTGGCTCTCGTTAAAACTAGGATTCAGGACCTTACCCAAGGACATATCCTTTAACTTTCTTAGGAGGTAGTGGCAGTAGAAGAACCTTCATCTAGTTTCTGTTGGTCACCAGTAGGTTCTTGACCTCAATTTTATCATGCGTCCAGAGGTGAACAGTGGACTGACTCATGACAACCAGCTTTTGTGTGACTAGCATTTAAATCAGGATGAAATTTACTATGATAGTATAACCATAACCTCTGTTTAGGATAAGCACTTACGAGGATCCAGGTACCTGGTGAGGTATCCCCACCTTCAAACCAGAATGTGTCTTACTGATGGCTGCCAAAGTCAGTGAATTTACCTCTGTCCCGTCCTGAATAAACGCAGAAAAATCTCTTCTCTACCTCAACCCCATGTGGTTAATGCATTCTTTCTTCAGTGTATAGTGCAATTTGTTTTAAGCTTTCTTAGCTGTAATCACATCTGTTAAACCTTCCTGAGATCACACCAAATGTCCTTGACAGGACATTTGTCCAATATTGTAAACAACCCTTATTTCTGGTTTCTAATTATATTCCCAGAAGTAACCTAACTAGAATCCGTGAGTATTCATGCATTTCAAGCCCTGTGACATAATCGGATTTGATTTTCAAGAAAACAGTTGGAGAGGGTAGATTCAGAAAACAGGAGAATCCCAAGAGAGACTTACGTTGAGAGCTGTGGGAATGAGGGGGTGGAAGACACCATCTAGAGATGTATTACTACACCACTGCTAACTGTAAAAAAAGTTACCACAAACTTGGTGGCTAAAACCAAGAATGTGTTATCTTACAGTTCTGGAGGTCAGAAATTCTAAAATCAAGGTGTGGGCTGTGTCCCATCTGGAGTCTCTAGGGGAGAATCCATTTCTTTGCTTTTTCTAGCTTCTATGCCACCTGCTTTCCTTGGCTTGTGGCCTCTTCCTCCATCTTTAAGGCCAGTAGTATATCATCTTCAAATCTTTCTCTCTTCTTGGGATCTCTGCTTCATGGTTAGGGGGTGTCTTTTTCTGTAAGGTAGGCAAAGAAAATAGGAATTGATGTAGATACATTTCTAGCTGTATATGTTACAAACTGAACTGATTTGGATTACTTGTGGGAAGAGATGACAGTGTTTTAATTACTAGCCAAATCGTCATAGGGTTAACTTATTTGACTGTAACATTGCTGAAGTAGTATGGTTAGTCCAGCCAGACCTATATTCCTCCGGTGACTCATGGAACTGAAACCCAAGGTGTTAACAGACTAAGAAAACCAGGTTCACATCTGCAGTTTCTGGGGATCAGTCCCTTTCTCTGGAAATCCCCGGCAACTCTTTTTTATGGTGTCCAGTGGAGTCATATTGCCAAGTTTGAGAAATATGTGTCTAGACCAACATTTCCCAAACTGGTCCACCAGGGAACATCATCCTATAAGATGGGATGCTGGGAAGACGGTTGCTCTGTGCTTGGATAAGGTCCATGGAACACAGTTGTGACTACAGTTCAGGCCAGCCAAGAAGTTTATCAGTGGGTCAGATCCATCAAGGGCAAAGTGTTGGGAAATTTTTTAATGAGGAAGTCTAAGGGAGAAACAAACATTTTCTCACAACAAATAGGTATGTGTGCTGGCAGGGATAAATTATGGACTTATGACTAAAACTTGTAAGTTTCTTTATCACCTAGCCCTCCTAGCTTTCCTTCTTTTTCTCTACTTCTTTCCCCACTCTGTGCTTCACCCAGACTACTTACGGCTTCATTCCCTCTCAAACGGTGGCTCAGGACCACTTCTCATTCTCTTACCATGTAACCTTGAAATTGCCTGTTACTTTTAGAGCCATCCCCATCCTCCTCTAACCTTACCTCCACCTGCTTCGTAAAGCCAGGGACTATGTTGTATTTATCACGGTATTCCCCATGCCTGATACAGGACCTGGCTCAAACTGGGAGCTCAATTAATATTAGTTGAAATAACAAGCAAGTGAGTGACAATATAAATGGAACAAACTAATGTCACTCACCTGTCATACTTGTCTTTGATCTTGTCTGTAATTAATAAACATTTAAAAAAACAATAAGCTATGGTATTGTGCTAGGTTCTTAGATTACAAAAATTAATATGACAAAAATCTTAGCCTTCTGTGAACTCATAGTTCATCTGAGGAAACATGCTAAAAAAGAAAATGAGGCAGGTAATACTAGTTGCCTATCCCGTTTCCTTCCTTCCCTTCTCTCTTAGTAACAGAAATCTGATTTTGTGCCTAGTGAAAAGTTTCATTTCACAACCTTCCTTGCAGATGGGGGTTACTAAGTATAGGCCATGATATGTGGATGGAAGGTGTTGTACGGGACTCCTTATTTGTATATATTGTGGGGGGGTGTTGCTAGCAGGGCTGACTCAAGACTATTATTGCCTGGAATATAGTTGTGATAGATGGAGTCACAGCCACAATCTTGTGACATCATGACTACCTGGAAGCCTGAAGTCATATGCTACAATTTGTATAGATGGGGTCATTTAGAGTTAGCCTATCTTACCAAGCCTTCATTTAGTCACTGTTACTGATAAATTTGGAAGGAAAAGGAAAAAAGTCATCTCTCCTCTTCAGTAGATGTGTGTGGAAAGCAAGTAGATATGGTATTCTTTCTCATTCTTAATGAATATCTTGTATGCATACTGAAACAAGATAAAGATCTATAAATATTGTGATTTATTTGACAAACAAAAAAGGGCTTTTTAGAAACAGAGCACAGTTCTCATACCTGTAGGAATTTTTTGTGTCATGATAGTTTCTTCTTTAAAAAAAAAAAAAAGATTAGTTACCAAGTCATAAACTACTCCTTAAAAGACTCTCCAATAGTTTGGTGGGGGGGGGTAGGAGGGTGATGTATTTTGTTAAACAATAAAGTACGGTATGGAATGAAAATACAGCATAAGCTGTAAATGGGAACTGCAGCAGGCTCTACCAAAAGGAATACTTGCAAATATATTCAGAAACAGGATTTAAAATATGATTGGGTCCTCTTTCAGTAGAAGTTTTTTGAGAGGATAATCCCATGAAAATGAAAAAGTCTTGATTTTTTTATTATAGACTAGAAGAATGGATTTAATCAGCTGAGATTAATTATAGGGGACTCTATATAAGAGGCTATACTAGGATCAGTATATTGGGGGAAAACGGTGAGTGTGGTACCTGGTGTTATGAAGTTGCATTTTTGTAAATACATGAAGTAAAATCTGGTCTGTTTGGCATTCTTCCAACCTGAATGCTATTCACCAATCTTCCTATACTTCTGCAGTACTATAATTGAGGCTTATAGTGATGACCCTGAAATGACTTCTGAATCCTAGCAGAAAGATTAAATTATCTTTTGCTTTGCCTACATATATTTAATTATATGTTTATTAATTGCAAGCTGGAAATTTTATCTGTTTTATAACACTGCTGGATTAACCAGAACATGCTTATCAGGGACCACAATAGCAGAATTTATAATTCATGGGAGGAAAAAAAACCCCAGAAAGTGATTAAAAATAATTTTTTATTTAAAATTTAAATTTTTTAAAATTTAAAATAAGAATAATTATTACAAAATAATTTAGAATCATCCAGCCACATTTTTAAGAATTGCAACAAATGTATTGGTTAATGATAAATGCTACATAGCTAATTTTTAAAATATGTATATTAATACATGTTCTGTAGTAAGAAAAGTTAGAGTATGAATAAATAAGTCTTCATTTTGGATTTGATAGAATGTGGTCTGTTAGTGTCTGCAAGAGAGCAGATATTAGGTATAGGCCTAGGAATGTTATAAATTAAGTTGGGTTATATGTCCAAATTTGGTTTAGGGTCCTGTTAAGTTGCTCCTTGTTTCATTTTTGTTTTTTTTCCAGAGGTGTATTACTCTGGTGACATTAAAGGACCTTTAATAAACATATGGAGTGAACATGTGTCTGAGGTAGGGTTCCCTGGAAGTGGAGCCTGAGACAGGGATTCTGATGCAAGTGACTTATTGGGAGCATGCCTCAGGAGAAGGGGAGGGGAGGTTGC